TTCCTCTCCCTCATATCTCCCTCCCTCTCCCTCATTTCTCCTTCCCTCTCCCTCATTTCTCCCTCCCTCTCACTCATCTTTCCCTCATTTCTCCCTCCCTCTCACTCATTTCTCCCTCTCTCTTCCTCCTCATCCCTCATTTCTCCCTCATTTCTCCTCTCTCTTGCTCCTCATCCCTCATTTCTCTCTCCAATTTCCCTAATTTCTCCCTCCCTCTCCCTCTCTCTTCCTCCTCACCTCATTTCTCCCTCCTCTCCCCCACTTCTCCCTCCTCCCCCTCATCTTTCCCCTCATCTTCCCTCCATCTCCTCACTTCTCCCTCATCTTTCCCCACTTCTCCTCCCTCTCCCCACTTCTCCTTCCCTCTCCCTCATTTCTCCCTCCCTCCTCCCTCCCCATCATCCCCTCCCTCTCCCTCATTTCTCCCTCACTTCTCCCTCATTTCTCCTCCCTCTCCCTCCCTCCCCCTCATCTCCCCCTCATCTCCCCTCCCTCCCCTCTCTCTCCCCTCCTCTCCCCCACTTCTCCCTCCCTCTCCCTCATTTCTCCCTCATTTCTCCCTCCCTCTCCCCCATTTCTTTCCTCCCTCTCCTCATTTCTCCCTCCGTCTCCCTCCCACTCCCTCCCCTCCCACTCCCCCACTTCTCCCTCCCTCTCCCTCATCTTTCCCTCCCCCTCTCTCTCCCTCCCTCATTTCTCCTCCCACTCCCTCCCTCTCCCTCATTCTCCCTCACTTCTCCCTCCAGGTCGACCTCCGCGCGGGCTGCCTCAACTCCAACGACTGTTTCGTGTGGCGACTCCCCAGACGACCTACGTGTGGTGCGGGAAGGGCTCCACCGGCGACGAGCGGGAGATGGCCAAGACGTACGCCTCCAGCAGGGGAGACACCTTCATCGTGTCTGAAGGTGAGGGAGGATGGGGGGGGAATGGGGGGGAGAATCACGTTTTTTTTTTTTTTTTTTTTTTTTTTTTTTTTTTTTTTTTTTTTTTTTTTTTTTTTGGGTGGGGTGATTTTTTTGGAAGGGTAAAGGGAGCCTTTTTATTTTTTATGTGTGTGTGTGTGTGTGTGTTTGGGGGAATTTTTGGAAGTATAAGGGGAGCTTCTTTTTCTTTTTTATGTGTGTATGGGGGGATTTTTTTAAGGGGGGCGGGATAAGAGAATCCTCATATTTCGTTTTCGTTTTTTTTTTGGTATGAGGGAATAATTTGGAGGGGCGGGGGGGGGGATAAAGAAGAGCCTCATATTTTGTATTGTTGTGTGAGAAGACGAATTAAGGAAGGACAAAGAAAGCCTCATACTTTATTTTCGGTTATATATTGAGGAAGAGAAGATTAATAATCACTTTGGGCTGATCAAGAGAACCTCATATTTAACTTTCCTTTTCTGTATTAGGAAGGGGATACTTTAGTCGATATAAAATGAGGGGAAAAGGGGAAAAAAAACCCTCATTGTTTCCTACTTCCTACTCATATGAAGAAATAATTCAAGAAAAAAGATGAGAGGAGAAAGAGAACCTTATACTTTCCCCTTTTTTCACTTTCGTATGAGGGGAGTGGAGGATACGAAGTGGAGTAAGGGGACCGTGAGATGGACTCGAGGGGAAAATTCTGAGGCGATAAGTGGAGACAGGAAGAAGAAGAAGAAAAAAAGAAAAAGAGAGAGAAGGGAAACTCTGAGGAGTAAGTGGAGACAAGGAAAATAAGAAAAAGAAGAAAGAGAAGAAGAAGAATAGAGAAAGGGGAAACTCTGAGGGAGACAAGGAGAAGAAGAGGAAGAAGAGAGCAAGGAAACTCTGAGGCGATAAGTGGGGACAGGAAGAAGAAGAAGAAAAAAAAAAAGAAAAAGAGGAGAAGAAGAGGAAGTAAAAGAAGAGAGAGGGGAATCTCTGAAGGGATAAGTGGAGATAAGAGGAAGAAGAAGAAGAATAGAGAAAGGGGTAAAGTCTGAGGGAGACAAGGAGAAGAAGAGAGAAGGGAAACTCTGAGGAGATAAGTGGAGACAAGGAAAAGAAGAAAAAGTAGAAAGAGAAGAAGAAGAAGGAGGAGGAGGAGGGGAAACTCTGAGGGAGACAAGGAGAAGAGGAAGAAGAGAGAAAGAAGGAAACTCTGAGGGGATAAGTGGAGACAAGAAGAAGAAGAAAAGAGAGAGAAAGATAAGTGAAGACAAGGAAAAGGAAAAGAAGAAGAGGAAGAAGAAGAAGAAGAAAAGGGAAACTCTGAGTAGATATGTGGAGACAAGAAGAAGAAGAAGAAGGAGGAGGAGGAGAGAGAGAGGGGAAGCGAGTAAGAATCGATAAGGAAAGGGTAAGAGGGTCGTAGAGTCCGAGACGAAGAGCTCTGAAGGGGAAAGAATGGGGGAATAGAGACACGTAGAGGAGAGAGAAGGGATCAAAAAGGGGAAATGGGGGAATACAATAATAAGGGAGGAAGAGAAGAGGCGGAGATAGAAGGAAACAAAAAGGGAAGAGGAGGAATACGTTAATAAGGGAGAACAGACGGAATCCAAAAAAGGGAAAAGGAGGAAGATGATAAAAAAGGAAGAAGAGAAGAAGCGGCAGAGAGAGAGGGAATTAAACAAGGCAAAAGCGAAATACGGTAAAAAGGGGAGAAGAAAAATAATCCAAAAAATGAAAAAGGGGAAATACAATAAAAAGTAAGAAGAGATGAAGCGAAGAGGAGAAGGAATCCAAAAAAAGAAGAAATGAAAAAGGGAAAATACAATAAAGAGAGAGAAGAGAAGAAACAGAAAACAGAAGAAATGCAGAAAGAGAGAATAGGAAATACAATAAAAGGACGAAGAGATACACGAAGATAAATCAAAGAGAAGAGAAGAATTAGAAAGAGAAAAGGAAATACCAAAGAGAAGAGAAGAAGCAGAAAACAGAAGAAATGCAGAAAGAGAAAAGAGGAAATGCAGAGAGAAGAGAAGAAGCAGAAAGAGAATAAAAGGAAATGCAGTAAAAAGAGGGAAGAGAAGAAATGCAGAAAGAGAGAAAAGGAAATGCAGTAAAAAGAGGGAAGAGAAGAAATGCAGAAAGAGAGAAAAGGAAATGCAGTAAAAAGAGGGAAGAGAAAAATGCAGAAAGAGAGAAAAGGAAATGCAGTAAAAAGAGGGAAGAGAAGAAATGCAGAAAGAGAAGAAAAGGAAATGCAGTAAAAAAGAGGGAAGAGAAAGCAGAAAGAGAGAAAAGGAAATGCAGTAAAAAGAGGAAAGAGAAGAAATGCAGAAGAGAGAAAAGGAAATGCAGTAAAAAGAGGAAGAGAAGAAGCAGAAAGAGAGAAAAGGAAATGCAGTAAAAAGAGGGAAGAGAAGAAATGCAGAAAGAGAATAAAAAGGAAATGCAGTAAAAAGAGGGAAGAGATACACGCAGATAAACCACAGAAAGATTAAGCAAGATGAAACCTTAAAAAAAGAGTTAGTTGATGGACCGAAAGCCGCCAGAGATAATCTGAATAATGAATAAATGAATAAATGAATAATAGCAATAGCAGGAATAGATTAATAAATGAATAAATACAGTGATGAATGGGTGAATGAATAAGTCCTTGCGTAAATGAATGAATGAATAAACAAGCACCTCTCTACTCAAAAAAAACAAAAAGAAATAAAAAGTAGAAAATAAAGTAAAGTAATAATTAATATTATATATTATATAATATATATATATATATATATATATATATATATAGAGAGAGAGAGAGAGAAGAGAGAGAGAGAGGAGAGAGAGGAGAGAGAGAGAGAGAGAGAGAGAGACAGACAGAGAGACAGAGAGAGAGAGAAAGAGAGAGAGAGAGACAGAGACAGAGACAGAGAGAGATAGAGAGAGAGAAAACAGAGACAGACAGAGAGATAAAGAAAAAAAACATTAAAATATATATAGAAGAGGGGGGGGGGGGAAAGAGAGAAAGACAAGAGACAGACAGAGAGATAAAGAAAAAAAAGAAAAAAAGAGAGAGAGAGACAGACAGACAGACAGAGACAGAGAGAAAGACAAGACACAGACAGAGAAAGAAAAAGAAAGAAAGAAAACCCAAAAATATCCCTAAAAAAAAGAAAAAAAAACTAAGACAAGAGACAGACAGAGAAAGAAACAAAGAAAGAAAACCCCAAATATCCTAGAAAAAAAAAAAAACATTTTTTTTTCTCTCCTTTTCCTCTCCCGAAGGCCACGAGAAGGAGGAGTTCTGGCGCGCCCTCGGGGGCAAGGAGGCCTACGCCACGACCCCCAAGCTGAAGGAGGAGCACCCGGCCCACTCGCCGCGCCTCTTCCAGTGCAGCAACGCCACGGGAGTCTTCAAGGGTGAGTCTTGTGTTTGTTGGTGTGTTGTTGTTTGTGTGTTGTGTGTGTGTGTTTGTTTGTTGTGTGTGTGTGTGTTTGTATGTGTGCTTGGTAATGTGTTCGTTTCTTGTGTATTGGTAATGTGTTTGTTTACTGTGTGTTGTTGGTGTGTGTTGTTTGTTTACTTGTGTGTTCGTTTGTGTGTGTGCTTGGTAAGTGTTTGTTTTGTTAATGTTTTGTTTGTGTGTGCGTGCTTGTTTGTGTGTGTGTTAATGTGTTAGTTTCTGTGTGTGTTTGTGTTTGTTTGTGTATCTTAATATGATTACTTGTGTGTTTGTTAATGTGTTTGTTTGTGTGTGTGTTTATTAATGTGTTGTGTTTATTTGTGTTGTGCTTGTCAATGTGTTTGTGCGTGTGTGTTTGTTTACTGTGTGTTTGTGTTTATTAATGTGCTTGTTTGTGTATGTATGTTTGGTTTAGGTGTTTGTTGTTTATTAATGTGTTTGTCTGTGTGTGTATTTTAATGTATATGTTTGTGTGCTCGTGTGTGTGTGTTCGTGTGAGTGTGTGTGGTTTGTGCGTTGTGTGAGTGTGTGTGTGTGTGTTGGTTGTGTGTGTGTGTGTGTGTTTGTGTGAACATTAATTCGCGTGTATGTTCTTTCGGTGTGTTGATATATTCCCCCTTATACTTAATACTTCCATTACCATTCAAAAATATACGGTATGATTACCAACAATTTAGGACACGTAACGAAGCAAAAGAAATCCGTTTTCTATGCGTCGTTTTCTTTAACAGAAACCCGTTTTCTATGCCCTATTTTGTACTGAGAAATCCGTTTTCTATGCTCTATTTTAGAAGAAAACTGTTGTTGTTTTTTTGTCCCGATTTCAAGAGAAATTCGTCTTCTATTCACCGTTTTGATGAGAAAATCGTTTTCTATTTTCCGTTTTGAAGAAAAACTCGTTTTCTACGTCTCATTTTTACGTAATCTCCGTTTTCTATGCCCCATTTTACGTAAATCTCCGTTTTCTATGCCCCATTTTTTTCATGCCCCATTTTTACGTAAATCACCGCTTTCTATGCCCCATTTTACGTAAATTCTCCGTTTTCTATGCCCATTTTTACGTAAATCTCCGTTTTCTATGCCCCATTTTACGTAAATCTCCGTTTTCTATGCCCGATAGGAAAGAGAAATTCACTTCCGATCCACCGCTTTTTTAAGAGAAATCCGATTTATTTTGCAGCCGAAGAAGTGGTCAACTTTTCCCAGGTCGACCTCGTGGACGATGACGTCATGCTCCTGGACGCGTGGGACTGCGTCTTCCTCTGGATCGGCCACAACTCCAACAAGGTCAGCGGCGAATGATTGTTTTTTGTTTCATTGCCGAGAATAATTGTTTATGGATGTTGTTTCTTTGTTTAGGGAACTGCGAATGATTGTTTGGGTGGAGGAGGGAGGGGTGGATGGGTGGAGGAGGGGTGGAGGGGTGGAGGAGGGAGGGAGGGAGGGGTGGAGGAGGGAGGGAGGGTGGAGGAGGGAGGGTGGATGTGGAGGAGGGAGGGAGGGAGGGTGGAGGAGGGAGGGGTGGAGGATGGAAGGAGGAGGGGTGGATGGGTGGAAGGAGGGAGGGAAGGGTGGAGGGAGGGAGGGAGGGAGGGGTGAAGGGGGAGGGAGGGAGGGGTGGGGAGGGAGGGAGGGAAGGGAAAGGGAGGAAGGGGTGAAGGGAGGGAGGGCCGGCTGGATGAGGGAGGGAGGGAGGGAGGGAGGGAGGCTGGAGGAATGAGGGAGGGAGTTTACATCTACGTATTTTCGCGTGTGTGACTGATATTCTCTCCATCTCTGTTCCCTCATCTTAATATTTAAAAAAAAGGAAAAAAAAAAAATTTAAGCCTGAAGACGTTCCTCACCTCACACGCCTTCTTCAGAAAATAAGTCTGGTTCGTGCTTCTACATCACAGCCTCCGATGATATGACCATCAATCCTTAAGAATCATCATCATTAAAGTCGCGGTCGAGAATCTTACTTTACCTTTCGTCTTAAGAAAGATGAAAAAAAATGAATAAAAAAACAATAATGATGATAATAATGGTAATGGTAATGATAATGGTAATGATAATGGATAATGGTAATAATAATAATATAAGGATAATGATAGTGGTAATATATAATAATAATATAAAATAATGATAATAATAATAATAACAATAATAATAATGATAATAAAAATAAAATAATAATAATAATAATAATAATAATAATAATATGATGAGATGATAATTATAATAATAATAATAATAATAAATAAATAATAATAATAATAATAATAACAATAATAATAATAATACCAATAAATAAATAAATAAACAGATAAACATAAAAAAAAACATTTACTTATTCACTCCCTCAGATACGCCAATACTACCGTTATGACACCAATACAGTAAAAACATTTTCCCACTCTCTGTTTCCCTCTCTCTCAACACTTGGGACGATTACAGTGACATGTTGTACCTCGCCAGCTTAACGTCCTGGCGTGATACAAACCAGTTAAAGATCCGACAAGATGTTTTGAAAGATATTTTGAAAAGCAACGCGACTATAGCGAAGTGGCAGACATAACACAACGAAGCGACGTAAGAATTTCAGCTGCAAGGGGTGGTCGGGTCACGTGGTTCAACATCGAAGGCATTTGTAGCAAATTTCAGCTTCAGTCTGAACATTTCCGAAGAGGATGTAAAGAGATGTAATAAAATAGCTCAAGCATGATATTTGATTTGATGAGGAAGATCTTTGGTGGAAATATTTTTGAAGCTTATTGATGTGTGTTCATTGTTACACAGGGGCCTTCACAAACGGGGAGAGAGAGGAGAGAGAGACGAGAGAGAGAGAGAGAGAGGAGAGAGAGAGAGAGAGAGAGAGAGAGAGAAGTGAAAGACAGAGAGAGAGAGAGAAGTGAAAGACAGAGAGAGAGAGCGAGGGGAGAGAAGTGGAAAGAGAGAGAGAGAGAGAGAGAAGTGGAAAGAGAGAGAGAGAGAAGTGGAAAGAGAGAGAGAGAGAAAGTGAAAGACAGAGAGAGAGAGCGAGGAAGAAGTGAAAGAGAGAGAGAGAGAGAGAGAGAGAGAGAGAGAGAGAGAGAGCGAGAGAGAGAAAAAAAGAAAGAGAGAGAGATAGAAGACTAG